TTTGGTTATATTTTACTGCCCTGCTCCTTTCTTTCTTTCTTTGAATTTCAGTCACAGCATGTCTTCATTACTTAATGAACAGCTTTACCCGTCTTTTGTTTAATGAGTTGGCCCACTGGCAGAGGATAAATATGTCAGAGAATAAGTCTCAAATTAGCTTTCGTGTCATTGAGCTTTAAAATGAGGACATGGTTTATAAGGAGGAGTTGGCAGATTGTAGTTGCAAAAATTTTCCTTCCATGGTTCTTGTGCTGCCTTCATTTAAGATAGCGTTGTGTAACAGGTCTTTATCAGAGCATTTGTTATCGATGACGCTTGTGTTTTCAAAGATACTGAGTGATCCTTCTTGGCTCTTACTGTTCAGTATGCATCTTGATCCCTTCATATAACATTAGCTCATGAGAAAGTGTCACAAACGGGTTTATGTGTTGTGATTCTCATTTAGATGTCACAGGAAGCGTACAAGGGACAGGAAGGATGTGGTCATGTATTGACTTGTGCAAGTGGCTGGCTGGGCGGCCTGTGGCTTTAGAAAACATCTGCAGATCAAAACTCAGTCTATTTCTTTTTGTAACGCCTGTGGCAGACAATGTTTACGTATGCTCTCAATTCAGATTTACTGATGTTATAAAAAGGCAAGAGTGCAAAAGTGTACACAATGTGTTTGGATTGGTTTCTCAGATATTCACCTAGAGTAGAAGAAGAAGAAAGGAACACATCTGTCTGTTCACGGGTGTGAGTCAGTCAACAGCAAACCTACGTCATAGTCGGAGTTCAAGGGAGGGACATGTACAGCAACACCACATAAATAGATGCCGATGTTTGGAAAAAGTTCAAGCGAACCATGACATGAGTTCATGTGGTTTTTATTTACAGGTTTGGTGAGAGGAGATGCAGGGTAACTTTTTGGCGTTTTTGTGTACTTATAGTTGGGATGTCTGAGTTCTGATTAGTACTGACTTTACCCCAAAAACAATCCAAAATAAGTCCCAAGAAAAAAAACCAGTCTGAGCCAGGATCTCGCTCCAGTTCCCTTTACGGTAATCTGTTTGAATTCTGAGGTTGGAATGGTACCATCACGATTTGTTTTGATGTCAAAAGTCGAGGCCGTGCCATGGCAACACGGGCATGAGGGGTGGAGCCTGGAGAGCACGAGGAGGAGGGAGAGAAGGCAGGACAAGGATGCTTAAGACCAAATGAGGAGTCTCCATTTTTACAACTCCACTATGAAAATACTCCTAAATAACCACAGCTGGACTGCATCCCCACAGAGAAGACAATAACATTTAAAATACAGAGGGTAGGGACAAATTAGATCCAAACACAAACTGTAAACCATGAGTCACAGGGCTACACAGAGCACGATCTGTCTTCTTCATTGGTTTAATGACTTTGTCAGTGTCTTTACTACCTTTTTCTCATGGTGTCCTTGTGCTGTAGTAACTTGAGTACAAATCTTTTCTCTCATTCTGTCACTGTTAATTCCGATAATGGATATAAAATGTATGTTGTCTGGTGTGATCCAGTTGAGCTCAGTAAGTTAGAGGTTGAATTCTGAAGCAAACTGTGCAGAAAAACAAAATCACTCTTGATTCTTTGAGTCATTTTGGGTGAGAAGATTGAAACCAGTGTTACATCAGTACCTCATATTTGTTCCTGAAGCTTTATATGTAACAGCAGCTTTCTAAAAAAAACTAAAAAAATGATAGCACTGGCCTCCAATAGAGCACATTAGGTGATGACGTTTAGATTACATGAATGGTGCACCAACAGTTAGATGACGTGCAGGTCATGGAGCTGCTCATGTGAAGCAACTCAGTAAGATTCAGGGGCAGGCTGTCCTGACATTTTGGAGAAATTTTCAGGAGCGCATGTGTGAAAACAGCTTGTGTGTAACTTACCAACCTATCTCACATGACTTACTAAGCTGACAATCAATGCTGCCATGGTGAAAATACATTTCTGAAGACTTAAAACCAGTAAGAAAGTGTCTGAAGTCAATCAAATGCACCTTCTGAAAAATGGCCATTTATAGATCCATTCAGTTTTATGACTTCACTCACCTGAGCTTGACAGGAGAGTGTCAGTAGTGAGGGTTTTTGTTTTTTCTGACACTATTTTCACTACTTTTCCTTTATACACTTGATTTCATTAAGCTTAATTTATATTGCTCTATTTGCTCCATTATACTAAATGTACCTTCTCGTGTACTTTTCAGCAGAACTGTAGCAGAAGACTTCATTCATTAAACATAATGCAGGATAAAGTGCAACCTCCAGGCTATGTTCTCATTTTGGCTCATTTATATTCTTTCAGCACTCCGGGGAAATGACTCCAGATTCTGCCTGTGAAAGCATGTTTGATTGTAGATTAAGTTTGTGTGAATGTGTTCATGGTTCATCTGAGGTCAGTGAGAAGTTACTAGGTTAGTTTCTTCCCCATCTCTTGCCTCGAGGAATTCATTTTGCATTGATCTAGAAATGTTCTATAATAAAATTTGTTTTGAGAATAGAAAGATTATGGGTGTGTAATCTGTTTCACTTCTCAATCATTTGAGGTTAGATGCCTTTAATTTTAAATAAGTTAACATGATACTACATGCTGTCACTTCTGAGGACTACATTTTCAACAAACATCCCTCCTCATAGTTGACTTTACATTTGGTTGTTATAATATGGATTAGCATGTTTTTGTGCCTGTGCTTCACATGTCTCCAACCAGATCATCTTTCTGTGTATTTGTCAGTTGTCAATAAACTTTAAAACCAGGGTCAGGGTCTTCAAACACAGAACAGCAGAAGGTATTTGTTTTGAGGCGGCCTTTGTGACATTTCACAGAAGGCTGAGTCCTTGATCGAGTCATCAAGATCAGCCCATGCTACCTGGTCATCCAAACTAAGTATGTAGCTGTCTAATTTTGTCACGAGATTCAAATGAAGTTGTTGACCTTTCTCGTACCTCTCCTCTCAATGCAAAGTGTATTACTGTATTCCACATGTGTCTTTATTTCAAGAGACCTACTGTGAGTCAATGACTGTGAGTCTGGACAACTTAAACAGGGGGAATGTCTTTTGCAAATGAAAATGCTCTAAGTAAGATATCTTTCATTTGCAAACCTGGATCTCATTGATCTGATCCACATATGACTGATTTTAAGCACTGTTTATTTAATAGACAAGGCGGTCATCAGAGTGATTGCCAAAATTGAGAAGCAATCATTCAAAATGTGTTTTTTTGCTGCCCCCCCCCCCTTTGGTGACTTCAATGTATTTCTCAAAGGCCTTGAAAAACAAAAGATCATGTCAAGTAAAATATGACATCATGGAAAACTGTGATACATGTTTTCTGAAACTGTTTTCTGAAACTGAAAATATTACACAAGGACCACAGAAGTTTTCACTTAACCTCTTGAACCTGAAGCAGTTTTTTTAATCTTTCTTGCGTGTCTTTGCCAGGCAGGTGATATTGAGTTATTATTATCCCTTTAAAGGTAAAAAATCATCTTAGATGTTATTGAATGAAGAAAAAATGCAGGTTGAAGGTCAATGAATCATCATGACCCAAATAAATGTTGTTAATAATACCACTGTTCTACAGACCACCACTGAGCCTTTGACATAATTGAGGGATGATCTTGCCAAAGGGCTGCAACAGCTCAGACGGTTATCAAGGGAAGTGTCTCATGAACTCATGATCAGAGTCTAGCATGCAGAGGAAATTACCATGATTCACCCCCCCCCCCCCCCCCCAACAGCTGTGAGTGTTCTGCTCTGGCATTCAAATGATGTGTAAAAAAGATCCTTCAAGCCACCCAACTAGTCTTTATCCCGTGCTCGGCTTCTCCCATTTGACCATTATCTTTTACCTTATTACCAGGAGATAATATGTGCCAATGAAAGTTGGTACAAGAGTCTACTCTTAACTTCTCTTTTTTGTATGTTTTCTGCTACTTGCACACAATCATGGCAGACAGTTAATGCTCAGCTGTCAGCCGCTCTTTGTTATTCCTAACAACCAGGTGGCAAAGCTACAGCTTTCCATGAAATCTATCAATCTTACAAAGTAGCACGTCATCTGTTTGTCACTGATTACTGTGCCAATTGGACTTAATTGGGATCTTTTTATAGCTTCCAATGGCTTTTGATTGTTTTGCCTCAGACTATGAATACAGTGACTAATGGAGAAAATAAATGTTGTTTGAGCCATTTGCCCTTGTGAAAAAAATCTATATTGTGGATGTTTGTCTCTATTTTCCCTACATCATCCAACATGTCTGATTACAATTTCAAATGCTTAATCTTTTCAGTTCCTTGCTCTAGTCATTAATTATTAATCCATTTAAAAGGGCTATTTTCTGTTTGCGTTTCATAAATAGCATCAGGGGGTGCTGCGGACGAGGAAAATAGCAGAGAGGATGTTATCACATTACATCAATGTTATGAGCCTGAATCAAACTAGATGTCTGTACAGCTCACTGTGCGCAGAGAGCAGTGGCCTACTTTCACTCTTATCTTCAACTTCCAGTAACAAAAGTACAGGCACTGAGCAAAACATTGCAGTGTTTAGTCAAATAACAGAAACCTGCTTGACAGGTTACAATATTTTACTTTGAAAGCAGCTCACACTGTCTCCGAATGTCATGCTTATTTCATTTGTGCCCTCTTTCTCTAATAATTTGCCTTTTTTGACGAATTTTGGGGTTCATTCATATCCATTAATGGTCATGCGCACAAACTACTTCTATTCTGGTAGGTCTCAGAGAGAGAAAAAGAAAAAAAGGGGGGAATCGTGACAGGGGTCCATGTTTTAAAAACGATGTACCACATCCGTAATATGCAGTGAGCAATTTAATGAGAGGCTTCTTAAAGAGGAGATAATCACGGGCAGTACCTGCTCTCTCTTAAGGAAGTGTGTGTGTGTGTGTGTGTGTGTGTGTGTGTGTGTGTGTGTGTGTGTGTGTCGTGTGTGGGGGTAGAAGATTGGGGGCGTTTCTATGAGTAGCGGCGCGATGCTCGCAGACATTTCTTGCGCTCCTAGCTGTTGGACAGAAGCACCGGTGGAGCGCAGACCTGCTCAGAGCCCGTTAGAGTATCAGTGAATGAAAAAGGGACGGAGTCTCCTCGTTTATCAAGAATGGAAACGTGAGGTTCGTTGTTGAATGAGCTTTAACGACAGAAACGCTGCGTAACCGAAACAACACGCCTGCAAGGAAGAGGGGCTTGTGCGCTTTGGCACAGGAGGGAAGATCCAGATTTAAACACCAGCTGAGCGTTAAGGACAATAACATTGGCTAATTTCAACCATGAGAATGTTAACTTGGACTATTATCCGTAGTTTTAATTCATAATTTTTTAACTTAACACTTAGAGTAAGGGGTGGATATCGCCCATATTTGCTCATTCGGCTTCTTCCAACCGTGCCAATGCTGGGATGGCTTGTAGCTTTGTGCATTACGATCCTGGTGGTCCTAATCTGGCCAGGCTCCAAATATTTTGCCAACAAGAGCAAGACGGATACTTTGCTTCAAGGATTTGAGATTTCTCAACAGGCAGCGAAGGAGAACACCGGGAGGTGCGACTCAGACCGAAAAGGGAGCGACGGGACCGGCGAGAAATCAAGCACCGTGGCATTCATCTGCAAACCGTCAGCTCTTGCAAACTATCTCCTTAAAAACTGCAGGACTTTCAGTAATTTCACACCTTGTTTCGGGTGGACGTGGAAGGCTAGCGCCTTACTGCAGAGTGTGTACGAGGCGTGCTGGCCGTACGACAGCCCGGTCCAGTTCGTGCGGGACAACCTGCAGCTGAGCGACGAAGGGCTGGTGGCCTTGGACTGGGCTGTGCCATCCTATCAGAAACGACGTAGGACCTCCAGTCACTCCACCAGTCCGGTCCTGCTCATCATACCAAACTCTTTTGGGAAGATCACAAGAAATGTGTTAAAGGTAAACTTCACTTTCTTGGCTTCCCTCACAGACAGTAGACTATGCAGTAGCCCACATGATTAGGAGATGAGAGTACTTGTGTAACCATGAAATATGTTTAGAAACTCAACAACCACTTAAGTTATAAACGATTGATGATCAATTGAACGTTCCCTATAAAAAAGTCATTGAAACATTTCATACACTTGCCAGTTGTACAGGGAACAATACCTCCTTGACAACATGTGTTTACCCAAACTCAGCTTCATAATAAATAGCAGGTATGGAAGATTCTATGTTTGTAGATACTAACAGCCTCATAAATCATGACATTCATAGGAACCCATGTATATCGATTTCCTTGACAAAGGTCAGACTTCATTTTGTAAATACTTCTTCAGCTGATTCGTGAACTTTAAAGTTCACAGAGCAGAAAGATTTGTCTCAAATCAGCGTTTCAGCGTGAGTGAATGTGCTGAACTCAAGTGGACTCTAAGCTGTATTTTTCAGTTTCTTAAACATCTATACTTTCCAAATGTTGGAAAGTATGTTGACATTAACAAAAAAAGACAGACTAGACAATGACAAAAGCAAAAAAAAATAATAATAATGAAACCAAAGTGTACAGACTAGAAAGATGCAAGACACATATTGAATGCCTAAATCATTTACAAAATTGAATCTAGCCAAAGGTCAGATACACATTAATTTAAAAAGACATTTGAATATGTTGCTGCATTAGAACAGGCCATTTTTGGCAAAGGAGACACTGTGAGATTAGGCCAAGGGAAGCTCAGTTTGATGGGGGGAAAAAAGCTGAGCAGTTAAATGAGCAGATGCGAAGGCAGCACCGGTCTTTCAAACTGCTCTTTCAATACACTGACTGAGGTAATTGAGTGAGGCATTACAAAGCATCGCTTGACTTTAGGGGCCTGGGGAAGAGCAGCACAGCTCAACGTGAATGCCAGTTGGCTTTCGCCCCACTCCAGGCACCTGGTTTCACCCAGTTCACATCATTTCATACTTCTATGTGTGCAAATCTCGTAAAAGTTAACTCCATGAAACAACAACCCTACAAGTACTGGGTACTCTCTACAAACCCAAATGTGTTTGACCTGAATATGAAGTGAAAAAAACATTTTTTTTAGGTGATGAAATCTAGGATAAAGGAAGACCGAGGAAAGGGAAATGGGCAGAAATATAGGCAAGACTAATATAAGAGTGTTAGAGCATTATGTGTAGACTGAACAATCATGGAGAATAGCTGTTGCATTTAGACAGATCTGCCTTGAAGATTTTCTTTTTTGAGGGGGCCATCATCAGAGAGAGTATTTGTAATGCTGTCATCCGGTTCCGCTTGGGAGGATTGAAAGCTGAGGCACCACAAGGGATATACACCAATTAAGATTGCTCCTGTCACTGTTGAGACTCACTGTGCAGAACGCCCTCTCTCGCTCTCTCTCTCTCTGCGCGTGTATGTGCGTGTGCGTGTGTGTGTGTTTGTGCCAGAAAGACAGATAAAAAGTGCAAATGTTAGTGTGGGCTTATACACATATGGGTCTATATCAGTAACACAGAGCACAAAGGAGAAACAGAGAGGGGAATGTAGACTCTGTCCCCCTGCACATTTCAGTCATGTATATTGTATACAGTAGCTGACAATAGTCATTTAAAGTTTTTATTTATTGGACATGGATTAAAAAGTGTTAATGCTACATTTTATAATGTACTCACTCAGATTTAAAAAAAAAATCTAATTTTTTTAGTCTTTCTTTCCGCAGCAAGACACACACACACACAGGACATGTTCAGCAAGAAGACATTTTCAAAAAGCTCTTCCTCTTGTTCTCACATATCACTGTCAAGCATCATTACATGTTTTAATTTAATAGTGAATGATAGTAAAATACTAAATACAAGGAAGTTTGCTTATTGGCTTTCTTTTGAGAGTTAGAAATGCGGCTGTTTGCAGCAATCCTAGCTGTCAGAGTAATCTCTGTTTACAGATTGTACATTCATATGGTAGAATCTGTACACACAGGAGTGAACTGGTTGTACTGGTGAAGGCATCCGTCTTACAAGACTTGGTTCTAAATATGTTAGATTTTAGTGTTGAGTTGTTCTGGTTTACGCTTGAATTACATTTGTAGGAATGTTGACTGTATCCTCCTCGCTCTCATCTGCGATAATCTGACAATGATTATAATATCTTGAGGAACAGATATCTGCATGCAAGTGTCAGCTAACAATTATTTCTGGATCAAAAATGTCAGCTTGCGCTATGAATCTGCTTGACGCTTTGTCACGAAAGCCAATCAGCTTTTGGGTTTCAGGACTTTCTTGAATGCATCTTAAATGGTACACATGCTGCTATTTCAGCAAACTTCAGCAAAGAACGGTCAATGCATTCAAAGGCAGATGTTTGCATAGACTAGCTAGCCTGGGTGTTTCCACTACTCACACTACACTCACTTTTTCCTTGTTTTATTATCATTCATTTGTCAGGGTGTAAAAAATAAAAAGATACTTATTATTTAATAGTACGGCACATAGCCCCAAACTCACACTGAACACTCACACATCACAGACACCCATTTTTATTCTCTGGATCACAAAGTAGTCACAATAGAAGGCATGTTTAATAAATGGAGGTGTGTCAGACATGTGGGTACGAGCCCCACATTCAGTAGCCTGTGATTACTGTTTAAAGCAGTGTGTTGAAAGGTAATAAATGTTCTTGGAAGCAGACATCCAGCTGGTGCAGCCGTCCTGCCTCATGTGATTTACACATGTCACACTTTCCTGAAAGAGCAGATAGATTTGTGGCAGTTTGACCAGGATTTTGTGACCTACTTACACTACAATCACAAATGTGTTATTGTGGCACTCGTTTTACGCAACACATATTTTTCATTACATATGGATTTAATGTAGGGTATTATCTGCTCATTATGTGTTATTCCGCCTTCATTACTTCCATAATAGGTTTGTTGGACCATTAATTTTGCCTTTGCATGGCTAGAAAAGAAAGGCGTTGGAAATTTCCAAATGCCCTGTGGCATAGGAAAAGAGCTTAGCACCCGAGCAGTAAATGTGCGGAAAGTTTAACATTAACAGCCATTAATGGATCAGTGGGAGAGGTGACAGTATAGCATTAGAAGTCAGTCAGTGCTAGGTCGGACATTTCTCTATGTCAGAATCGTTCAATTTAGGACAAATTGCAAGAAACGCCCTCATTCTGTGGCTGCAGTATGAGGCCAAAGAAGCAGATTGAACATGAGAGCTGTGTTTTCTCTCATTGTCTTGATGAATTCTACATTTTTTGTTAACACTCCCGGGTGAAATCCTGGTATATTTCCACATGACATATTTTTTGTTGTTGTGGTCTTGTTTTTCAATCACAAAATAATTTTACATGCAAAAATATTTTAAGGCCTTTAAGTAAAATTAGCTGGAGAGACAAATTGTTGCTCATAATTTTCATGCTTCACCTTTCAAAACACATTTTTATTTTAGTAGAAAATAGCAATAACTTTTTTTTTAACAAAACAGTACTGAAAGGAGGTACTTTTTATTTTTAATGCAGACAGAAAACTCTACATAAAGATATTAGGGGTCGACCGATATTGTTTTTCCAGAGCCAATACAACACCGATATTTAGAATTTGCAATATTACAAACTCCAACACAAGACTTCATTTAAATTATCAACTGGAGACTCTAATCCTGCTCTGCTCTCGTCCCAGTTTGTGTCAGTGTCACCCAGGCTTCAGTGTTGATTGGCTTTTACTCGTGTGGCGTCCAGCCAATCAGACTTTGTTGTGGGCTGGACATTAGGTGAGACAGAGTGGTAAGTGAAAAAAGACCCAGCGGTAAAGACACACCTGTAGCAGAGCCAAAGTAGCGCACTTCTTAATGAATTAATGTTATCTTCAAATGTGTTGGAAAACGAGATATAGATTATCGCCAAATATCAGCAACGATAATAGGCTGAGCTGATAATCGGTCAACCCGTACAAGTAATCATTAAAAAAAACATTTTAATGGAGGCTAACTGAACAAGAGCATTTTAGGCCCTAAGTTGTTCAAGTTACTTAACAGCTGTTCTGTTAAGTAACTGATAGTGACTCTGATCTTTGCATGTACGCCTGTGATGTTTATCACTTTGAAATCTAGCCAGAGGAAAAACTCTCTTCATTTAAAATACATTACAGTCCATCAGACTTCACAGCACCGTAACTCTGGGTTATCATGATTTCATAGGCTACTCCCTCAAACTGCACTGAAGTGTTTGATAGAGGGAGAAAAAAAAAAGATTTTTGGGTATCTGATGTAATGTCAGAGTTTCAAGACAAAACAGCTTCTGCTTAAACTGTACACACACAAAATTGATGGTTTAAACAATTCAATGTTGGTCAGAAAAACACACTTACTATTAACTATAAAGTTTGCAATAATTGATCAATCAGTCTTTATTTGTAATTCAATAACAAATGTTATCTTGAGACACTTTACACAAGAGCAGGTAAAAGACGTTACTCTTTGTTACATTATTTACAAAAGTAGAGCAAAGTTACAGTGGAAGGAAAAGCTGCCTGTAAGAGTCAGAAACCTCGAACAGAACCAGACTCAGCCATCTGCTGAGACTGTGTTGGGCTTGGAAAGTGGGCTAGAGGCATTTATAAAACATCAAAAACCACACATCAGATTCGTAAGATCGTCTCTGCAAGATTTCAGCAACTGTTTTGCAAATGCGAACATATGAAGTTTTACACAATATTATACACAGCAGGGTGAAGCTATCCTTTAGTCAGTCTACTTTATTTTCACAGGAACTTATATACCTCCATATTTTAAATTGTTTAATGCAGGCATCGACTCACAGGCCTGTTGAATAATATTTTGGGCAAACGGTTGACCTGAATAGAGGAGAGGACATTGTAGTGCGATGCTTTGTTTTCTTTAAAAGGCTTTTAATCAAATAACATCCTTCATTTAACTTGATCTGAGGCCACATGCCCTGATGAAGCTGCTGAAGTTTGTCTAACATTAGAAGTGGTCTTACAGAGGGAGATCAGTGTGTTTAAAATGTCTCAGAGTGAATATTGTCAAACTTTAGGAGCACTGCTGTATTACTGTATGTCTGCGTCATTGTTCCAGCACAGAGTGGAGTAGAGGGCGGGGAGTGTAAATGCTGTGTGTGTGTGTGTGTGTGTGTGTGTGTGTGTATGAGAGCTGGCAAGTTGTCCAGTGTCTGGAGTCCCTGCTGATGGAATTTGTCACTGAGCTGACACTTTGTCACTTTGCAGAAAACTGCTGGAGAAGCTACTCTTTGTTTTCCTACTGTTTCTGCAATGAAGTTGAGCTCTCTTAAATGAATGTTTATTCTCACTGTTTACATGTCATTTCAGGACAAGTATTGCCGAAAACGATAAATGATTTAGAGAGCAGGTTGAATTCCTATATTTCTTTGAAATGTATCTGTGTTATTCTGTTAGTCTACCATTTTGTGTTCACTTGTTTTATTTTGTAATCCGGTGCTTTCACATCATATCTGGTCTTACTTCCTGCCAATGTTCTCTTTCTCGTCTTTTGTCCCAACACACCTGTGTCTCATCTGCCATTAGTCTGAGCTGTACATATACCACTGTGTTTCCACCAGTCCTCTGTTTCATTGTCATTGTCTCCTGCATGTCCAGACTTGCATTGTGTTTGCTTGCCCGGTTTTGAACTTTGTTTGGGTTTTTGACTTTTATGGCTCTGCCCTTATTGGATTTCTCTGCCCTTGTTGACTGCCTCTATGTGTATGACCTAGTTGCATTGAAGTCAGTTTTTTTGTTACATTATGTGAAAACCTGGTAAATTGTTGTACGAAGGGCAAATTTGTTACCACATCCTTCCTCCTTTATGAGTAGTCACCTCTCTTCTGAAGAAATGATAAATGTAACAGATATTCTCTATAAAGTATATTTGGATCTATTGAGGTCTTCCTCCTCGTGGTGTTGAGTCTCTGAGCAGTTGTTACTCATCCCTCTCAGTGCGGTGAAATTGGGTGATTTAACAATGATCACCTAAGTGTCTGACGACACTTAGTTTTACACCTAAACGCTTTATTATTACCTGAGCAGGCAGGTGTGAGTAAATCCTTTCACACTCACTTCATCTAATTTAATCTGAGCTGCTACATTCATCATGCGGCCCTGGCTCTCATGCAGATTAAAGTGAGACATATTTAATCGCAGATCTCAATATCTGTAGGAATTAAACTGGGATCAAGGGATTCATAATATTCAGCATGGATCAAACATGACTCAATGTTTATCGATGTAAGGCGTAAGAGAAACGGCTTATGAATGACTTAATACAAGATGTTCCTGTGTGTTAGTTCTGCTCACATCCTTCCTGACATTCCTTGTGTTTCTACTGTTATGGATTTGATCATTCAGTCTACAGGTGTATTGAATGTTTCCTTTTCAATATCAAGCTTTTTATGCAGAGGTGACTACATTTTTGTACAGTATAGCTTTATGCTGAAGGTAAGGATTAATGAGTGTGATGACATGTCATGAGTACTTTCGCTTTTCTGATTGACCGTTGGATATGATCGAACTACGTAGGCCTCTTTGCAATCTCTAATAATGATGACACCAATACTTAGCATGAACTAGTTAGAAGAAAAAACAACCAAATACTTTACATTTTGGATTCTTAGCCTTTGGAGTTTTATTGTAATTTGTTATTCCATCATTTTTTCATATTACTTCACTTAATAATAATGTTCAGTGCCTTGAAGTTTGTCAACTTTAACAATATATGACACTCTTCAACGTAATGCAGTATTGCAGGAGAAGTTGAGTAATACAGGCGGAGGCTGTCTGAGCTTCCTCTGGGTAGCTTATGAAATTGAACACAACGTTATCCTCTATAAGGCATGTAGGGTGCCTGAGTACTGCCTACAATATTTGGACTCCCTCCATCTTAAAGCCGAGTTGCATCCTCTCGGCAAATAGCAACTTGTAGCTTGAGTTTAACTAAGTTCTCCTGGTCATTCTTTTGTATGGTGGACTTGACTGTTGGGTCTACTTCTGAGGGTCCTTTTTTTGGATTTGGATCAACGTCTGTTAGATTTTAGAAACAAGCAAAGTTGTCTTTTTAAATGGAGTGGAAATAGTTAAACTCATTTATTGAGTAGTAAAATGTAGAAACATTTAATCCTGTAGTTTTTATGTTTTTATTACTTCTCCAACCAACTGGTTTATTTCTTTTTCCATACTTTTCCAATAAAAGAAGCCATCCATTTTGGGTGTTTCAACTGCAAAGATACATGGTATTGTAGAACATAATGGGAACAAAAGGGGGGATTGTGTCATTCTTGGTATTAGAGCTAAGAGACTAGGCTACACTTAGGTGGCCTATTCAGAGTACACTAAGAGATGATGTCAGCATTGTAAGAAAAAAACACAGTGTACAACCATCAACTACCTCATGTCCTTTAATGTTCACAACCTGAGTATTACTGTTCTGTTTTATAAGGGGCAAACATGCTAAAAACTGGTTATATGTGATAAATCTGCATGTTTTTTCTCTCAACAGTTGTGTGAAACTGCACTCTCTCATGGCTACCTTCCAGCAGTTTTCAACCGCCGCAGCCACAATGGCACCCCACTCACCACCCTCAAACTGCAGCAGTTCGGCGACCCTGCAGATCTGCGCGAGGCTGTGCGATACATTCGCCACAGACAGCCTGCAGGGAGACTGTACGCAGTAAGCGAGAGCACTGGGTCCGGCCTGCTCCTGTCTTACCTAGGGGAGTGCGGATCATCCAGTTACGTCACCGCTGCCGTCTGCCTGTCGCCCGTGTTCCGCTGTCAGAGCTGGTTTGAGAGCGGGCTGTGCTGGCCGCTGCAGTGGGCACTGGTGCTCTACCAGAAGATATGTCTCAGCAGGTACAGAGGGGAAAACTAGAGAGGGAATGGAGACAGGCTTGCATAAGTTGTTACTTTGGAAATATTTGGTAGAATGGTCAAGACACGTTGTACCAAAAATGAAAAAGAAGTACGATTCTGGATTATTACAACATTTGTCTGGTTTAGATACAGCCCTCATTCTGCTGTTTAGAACATCTATAAAATGATATTTGACAGAGAAAGAACCCCAGCCTGTCAGAGAACCAGAAAGGTTGTAAATTAGTCAAACGTTTACCCAATTTTTTACAGAACTGACAAACATGTAGGCCACAATCTTTCTTTTCGCACAAGAAAAATGCCTTCATGTAAACTAAAGCAAGTAGACAAAAGTTGTTATACGCAGAATAAGGTTAGGCCAAAACGTTCCCATTCAAGCACTGATGGTCCTTTGATTTAAACAAAAAAAAAAACAGTGCAATGAAATTGCTCTGAACACAAAAATTTAAAAACAACTGAAAAAAGCAACTTATCTGAAAAATAAAAAAGCCCTTCTTTAGTTGGCAATTTCAACGTGGAAATGCTCAAACATGGTGAATTCATAGAAGAAAAAATCAACAGCTGGGGGTTATTATTTAACTTGTTTATGTATGTGAATAATTGTGTTATCATGACATGAAATAGCCAAATGAATAGAGGCAAATGGTAGATGGACTTTATGGCACTTATATAATACCTGCTAGCCAGTCAATGTGCTTTTACACACTGATCTCAGAGGCTGCTACATAAAGTGCTCAGCTGCTTTTCAGTACAAATAACATACTAGCACCAACGGTTATCCCTTTTGGGAGCAACTTATCGGTTGAGAGGAGACCCAGTCAACCGCTGAGCTACAGCCACCCCTAAAATATGTACTTTAGTTCCCTATAGGTAAATGCATGAGAGGTTATGTTATTGTCAACAATGACTTTTAGTTCCACATAGGAATCACACCCCAGTCCCCTGAATTAATGTCTGGTTTTCGTTTCATAATATATGGCTTCAATACTACATCATCTGACTACTCTGTCCTACTCCTTTTTAGCTATATTGCGATCCATTGTGTCACCAATTAAGTTTAGTTTTTGCCATTGGGAACCAGAAACATGAAGACAAAATTGTGTTGCAATATCCTTTAAATGACAATTAGTAACTTGCATAAATATATCTGAAGAGGGTAATGTTTCGAAGGTGTAGATGCAGTTCTTCAGGATCCTGTTATGTTGGGAAAAAGGTGCACTATGTAAAGAGAAGATAATGGTAATTCCCCTTGTCAACTCACCCTGGGGACGATTTAACTCAGTGTAAACAAGGTGATGAATAAAATGATGATGAATACACTGAAACAAGGACGATGATGACATTTCAGAGAGCCAGCAGGGGGGGGGGCATGGTTAAAAGGGGATTGAAAGAAACAGCTGCAAGCAGTCCCTAACCAGCCATTGGAAAGACACAAACAATTACTAAACAATCAAGCTACTGCAGCAACAGATGGCCTGCTCAGTGTCAAGTCATTGATTCTGAGAGGCAGTGTGACCCAGGTACTGATGCTCAAATTAGAGCTACAGAGGGGTTGTGAGGCCCATGCGACTTTTCAGAATTGATGTGCTGGTTTTCTCTTGTTTTATTTTGCTTATTTGTTTGTTTTTGTGCATGTGTGTGTGTGTGTGTACTCATAGGTACAAGACGGTTCTGCATGAGACCATACAGACTGACACCCTGTTTTCCAGCTGTTCCTTGCGGAGCCTGGAGGAGTCGCTGTTCTGTCAGTCTGGACTAATGAGCTCTGCCTCAGCAGCACCATCAGGGAGCTGCAACAACACAGCAGGTGCCTGGGACACTTACTGGGAACGCAACGAACCCTTGAGGGACGTGGATGAAGTAGCTATCCCCGTTCTGAGCGTGTGCGCCCAGGATGACCCCGTCCGAGGTGACACCCAATCCACAATCCCCTTGGAACTCTTTGAGACGAACCCACATTTTTTCCTCCTCCTGACTGAACGTGGAGGTCACTGTGGTTTCTCCACCCAGCCAGAGGAAAGTGCATTTAGTGCAGCTGGTTCTGCGGCGGTGCAAAACAGTGCGACTGCGAACCGTGGGACCATGTGGTGCCACAAAGCCCTGCTGGAATTCTTCAGGGCGACCACGGACTTCTTTGCGGCGGAGGAGAGAGCAAAGCAGCTCGCGGCGAGGAGGAGGGGGCTAGGGGGAGGGGCAGGCGGAAGAGTTTTCCGCCACCGCAGCGTCAGCACGTGTAAACGCGTGCCAGCGTGTTCCCATAACATCCATGCCATTTATAACTGGCAGAGATCCTACACCCGATAAGCAACCTTTGTGGAGGTTTATGGAGTTCACTGATGCCTTGTGATGTCGTCTAGATTCTGGATGTAAAGGTTTCAGGTTGTTGCCCGCATATTTGATACACTGCTTCAAGTGCTCTTCTAGAAAAACCCAGCGTTTATGAAGAAGTAGCGTCATTGACTTACCTGAGGTAAAAGAAAAAAATGTTTGTTGTTCTCATAGGCTTGATGTGAGGCATTAAACACAGGGACAGTAAAAAAGATCAAGAGAGGCAAACAGCTGACACTAAACTCTCCAAGTGGGGCGCCGTATTTTCCAACAGACTGACACCACTCTTCACTGCCAGCTCTCCCACAGTTCTAATGTCACACAAACATACATCTGCCTCACGTTCTACACACTTTTCTCTACTTGCAAACACGACTGCACGATGTCGTATGGGACACCTAAAAGCTTGACACCTTTTTTATGTTACTGTTATTCCTTTTCTGACAAAAAGGATGTTAATTTGGGAGCTAATGTGTTGACAGCACCGTGCCCTGACAGAAGGGAAAGTAAATCCAGTAAAATAAATTGAAATCAATTTGTGTTGAATTTCAAAGAGGATAAATAAACTTTGCGATGTTATTGTACACAGAGTTTACTGCGTGAGTTATAGGATGTCCTTCACTGTTTTGGTCCTGCGATTGCCACCCAGTCTACTTCTAGAGAAAATTCTGTGAAATGAGGTTATATTTTAAAAGAGCAGAGTGTCTGAAAGCTCTTCTTTTTCTGTCTCATCACTTATTCTCTTTTGCTGCAGCTGCATGGCTGCTTTGGCACTGAAACTGAGTGTTTCAGACTTAGCAGCATAAGGAATTCTGAGACATTTCTCAAGTCTCTTGAAATGTAGGTACTCAGCGCATCGCGGTAATAAATTATACAGAAGATAAATTATGCATAGTATTGTGTTGAAAGTGTTTAGAAGAGCTTTACGGGATAGCATAACAGTTTTTAAAGCAGGAGGTTCAGACTCATGGATAGCAGAAGTCAGAACCAAAAACTACAAAGCGCTGTTTGTCAACTGATTATCATGTTTTATAAAAATTCTAGACGCTTTTTAAATGTGTGTAATATGACAGTATGTGATTGGAGTTAAAAACTATGAACTAATAAATTAAAAATGATGACAAACTGGGATATTCACTTTGTATGGTCAATGTGTCCTGAAAAATGAAAAAAATGTATGTTATTTATCAATAATTTTTCCTCATTTATTTTTTTAAGTTTATCACACTTAAGTTGTAATTTGTGCTCTTGGCAAACCCCTGCTGAGTCAGTGCTCTCAGACGCTCCCTTTTCTAGCCCAGTACCCACAGCCATGCCCTGCTGAGTGTGTGTTCGTCTTTGTGACACACTGTGTTTGTCCGCCCACTGAGCCTTATCCACTCAGACAGCTGGAACACAGCAGTGTACACACAGACACACACAAAATGTGGGCCTGCAGTCTCACTGTCAACACACATCCTCACTGTCACACACACAAACACGCACAGGGTATTCATATGCTCATTATCTAGAGGAGGATGCACAGTCTCATACATAAAAACATCTTGTGACTGACACACACACACACACACACACACACACACACACACACACACACACACACACACACAGCTATTAATACAGATAAAGCGTGATACAGAATCAGATTCATTATGGACATGACAAATACAAAGCAATGTAAAGGGCTTTTCTTATATTTGCTCAACAAGATTGATCAGAGTCATGAATATAATGAGTGTAAAATAATAGGTGTAAAATACTGCAAACTGTGCCACAGGTAGGTAATGCCTGTAGTTCTCATTGCAGATAGATCGAATCACCTGTGTCACCATTTCTGTACTTCAAACACCAGTACAAAAAAAAATGTTTGTAGCTGTATGTATCTGTTCAGATTTATAGTCAGTGCATTTTAAAAACAAAAAAATGGGAGCCTTGTAATCAGTCCTATCTGGAAAATGTGTTTGGGACCAGAAGTTAGCACATTATTCTATTCCTACATAAAAACTGGCAGAAACAATGGTAAACTCTTTTGTCATCTAAGAACGGTAAGTCAGTGAGTCTTTGTTACTGGAAATACATCTGGCTTAAACATGTTGTAAAATGAGCACATGTGACAGCAGGGGTTCAATGCAAAAGGAAAAAGCTGCACGCATACTGTTCGGTTTTATTGTTCACATTAATCACCATCATTTATGACCAACAGCGGACCAAGTTTGCAATGGAAGTGTGTTTCATTGGCCTCAAGCGAAACAAACCATTAAGATAGAGTTGCCCTTTCCCACTTTGCTTATTTAATTCAGGCCCAATAGTCTGCCTCAGTGACCAGAGACAGATTCAATTAAAGTGATTGAGAGTTAATTAACAAAGCACCTGACATTCTCGATGATTTCACTATTCTTTATCATTGCGCCTCTTAAATGAGACCAAAGCTCTGTTGGGGAATTGATCAAATGGGACACCTTTAAGAAATGGGTTTGAATCATCCCAGTATCTATGTGATGATAATCTAAATAAAAGTAAAGAGGCGCAAATGGAGACTGGATGACGCACATACTTTTTCAGTGAAGACGTCCTCATAGCTCACCTGGTAAAGCATTTACTCAGCCATTGCCGATTCCTTATCCCGGCAGCCCGGGTTCAATATCAAGCCTGGTCCTTTGCATGTCATCTTATCGTTCCCTTCCAACAAAGGCAAAGAAGGCCAAAATAGACTCTGATTAGGAAAAATCCAACATTTATATAGAATAGAGATGAAGAGTTTTTAGACTCAAATATACAAAGTTTATTGAAGTACACAAGGCAACAATACATGAGATACTTCTTTTTAAGTTATACTATTTAGTTTTCCAAAGAAAAAAAACCTAATGAATGAAAGTAAAACACATTTTTCTCAGTTTAGAACAGAGGTTTTGCTGCTATAACCTTATATGACCAGTATTTTTGGTGGCTAATTATAGGTATTATTTGCTTACATCATCACTGTGATCATAAACAGCTATTTGACTAATAAAGTATAACTAAGCATTTAGTATTGTGACCAGAATATCAAACGTTGGGAATGTTCAATGAAAGGCCAGTGCTTGTTCCAGTGCTAACTTTTTACCTGAGAGTGTCTTTCACTGTGACTTAGAATATTCCAGTTTTTTAACTCATATCTCATTCATGACCCTCACAGGCACTGATTTGTAACGTGGTATAGGTGCAAGACAATACAAAACAATGCATACAAAACTAGTATAGGAGGACTGTAAAGGCAAAACACGCTGCAACATATTGAGATATAAACTACTATGGACTCAAACAAAGACATTACAAAACAATAAGAAAGAAAAATTAAGAAAACTAACAAGGAAAAGAGGACAGAAAAAAAGGCGAGGGGGAGAAGGTAAGTTTTATACAGCGGACTTGAGAAGGAGAAGATAGGATTGAGAAGGTAGTCTGTGTGTGTGTGTACATTCTAATGTGTTGATTTGTGTTTGCAGGTTGTGGTGTGAAAGGGAAGGGTTTGGATAATGTTCATGTTCTGGAGAGGCTGCAGTAGGAGTTTTAGGACCGGTACTCCACTGTGATATGAGGCTAGGGTGGAGGGAGAGTCTGAGGTGCTTGATGCCATCATCTCACTTTGGCCGGGTTAAACAACAGCAAACCTAAAACCCTCACAAGAGGAGTTGCCACTTGCAGGACCCAGCCAGTTTAAGGTGTGCACATGTGAGAGGTGTGGGGTGGGGTAGGGTCGGGTGGAGCGCAAGAGGAGGGAGCCTCCCCTCCAATGTAGCACTTGGTTTCAGTGATTGGTATTGTTGTTGTTGTCCTGACCCTACACCAACACACCTCCCTCCACCCTAGCCACATCCTTATATTTGCTCTCAGAAACTGGAGACAGTGGTGATACTGGTATGTGGTAAGGGGTATAGATCCAGTGTGGTTTATGAGTATTGTAGAGGTGTTTCTATGGCTAGGCCTTAGCATGAAAACAAGCTTACAGCTAAATATTCCTTGTCAATCTAGTATGTACTGTATAGTGTCGTCAATCACACTGTTCAATGTTTTTAACCCAGTCCTCCATTTACTTGTACTATGTTTTGGGCTTTATAGGACCAGAGCCACTGAAAGCCACCACCACCTTGACAATAGCTGCCAAACAGCCACAGGCTTAACTTCTTTGTGTATTGGCTGAGGGAATTATGGACAATCCACTATAGAGTGGAAGATAAATCCCATCAACGGAAATCTTGGAAGAGCATAGACAGAATAATGTTCTTTGTAAGGGATCCTATGTAGGCTGCTATGGAAAGACAAAAAGTAAATAATTTGCAATGTAGGAATAGTCCAGTTGAAGTTTATTTTTGTTGCCGATGGATCAATCCAAGCTAGCCATTTCCCCATGTTTCACTCTTTATGCTATGCTAAACTAACAATCTCTTGATTTCTATCTGAAGAGCCATTTATCTTAGTTTGATATAATGGTAAGTTTATCACCCATTATATCAAACTATTCCCCTGATGAATTCTCTTCGTTGAAAAACAGAGAGACAACCTGGCAACCAGCAGGCTGACACAAAGAGAGAAAAGATGTTTACAGTTTGGGTCACTTCATAGTTTCTGAAGGTGATCAACACATAACTATGTGTGGGTTTTATTGTCTCTGGTTCTCTGCAAGTATCCCGAAGAGTTATACTGTAAACTGACTTAGATTTGGACTTCTTGTCCCTTCATTGTTTACATATGTGTATGACTTCAATAAAACAACATAGATATTATAGCAAAATGATTAAAACTGGGTCAAACATTACACCTTCTACTCAACTTTGTACTGAAATGTTTTTTATATACAGTATGCTTGCAAATGCGTTTAGTTCAGTGTGACATGTTGTCTCTTGACAGTTCAGAACTGAAACTTAGGTATGACCGTGACTTTGCATGTTGTGTTCTTTTACACAGGCGATATTTACTCTTCGACTATCAACATTTTTGTTCTTGATCTTCTAATTTTAGGCTGTTAATATGAACAATAAACTCAGATTGCTAATGTAGTATTTAACATGCCAGGTTCAGCTGAAAAACCGTAAGCATTTTTTATGTGATGAGGATACACATCTGGACATTCTGGGCTGAAATGGTCCACGTATTACATATGAGTAAAGGCGTATGCCATTTAAATTTTGTCAAACATTAGGGAAAACAATTTCTAACTGTTGAGATCAATATTTATGTTTTGGTGAGCCATAAATTTGGCATGACCTGTCAACTTTTATCTTAACAAAGTACTTCAGTGTGTAGCTTTTACTGTAATGAAAAGCCACAGCCGACAAAACTGCAGATTCCTCTGATCCTCTGAATTACTCTGATCAGGGGCACCATCTTGTGGATTTTGATGGGACAAGCATTGATCCTTCTGATCATAGTTGTAAAGTGGGTGTAAATTCAAAATTTAAGTGTACTTATGTTTTACTTAAAAAAATATGAGATTTGCTTGGTGAGCAAAATAAGTCAAGCTTGTTTTAATATATCTACACTCTGCTTTAATGAATACATGTATTGGTTATTTTAGTTAAGGATATGTACAGAATGACGAGAAGTAAAGCCTGACAGGGCCAAAGAGAACAATTGCATAGCTTTGAACACAAAATGTAAAGCAAACAAAGTGAATCAAAACTGATGATGAGGGAAAAAAACTCCTCTAGTGCTCTGATCCCATCCTTATTTAATACATCTTTACATCCATAACCCTTTCAATATTATAACATATGTGTGCTTCCCTGTGACCTGGTTTTACAATGACGCCTTTAAATAAAGATCACTCGACCTACTTGCCCATCCAAATAACCCAACTGTATCTTCTGATGTCTCCATGCAGACCTCCTGCACTGCTGCAGCCACCAGCAGATGGAAGCACCAACAAGGTTTCTCCCCCGGAATGTTCCACACTGTAACTTGTCCAGGGGTCGACTCTGCTCTGACAGACACAATGACGCAGCTATCTCTGCTTTTGGCTCGGAAAACTGTCTGTATATTTAGCACCTTGTTTAAAATTAGAGCACAGCACATGGGGAATACATTAAGCTGGCAGTTTAAATAGATATATGCCAAGTCACACAAATTGTGCTCAGCAGACACATGTCCATAAATAC